AATCAAGATGCATTGACAATTACTGGTGATTAGCATGTGAAAGTTGGAAACAAATCAACAGTTGGAAAATGTGGCCTTGGTGATAGAAATTATGTGGGAGATTGCATGATAGAATTTTACAAGATCAATGACTTATTCATTGTAAATGCCTTTTTCAACAATATAAATGGACTAGATATAGAAAATGATAAAGTAGGGTAGGCTAAAGATTCATTCAGTCAAGATTTATTGAGCTACTTTTCTAGGTACAGGGATGAAAAACTAGACACAGCATCCAGATTAGTATGATCCTTTGGATTCTGGCCTTATCAACGGGTGATTTACCAAGGTTCAAAGAATGAAAAGGAAGCATAATTGTGGGGAACATCAATTTTGGATATTATATTTAAGGACCTTCTGAGAATTCTCAATAAAGGTGTTCTGTTGAAGATGGAATTGGATGTATAGGTCAGGAACTCAGGAGAGAGGTCCCATCTGGTGATACAGATTTGGGCATCATTGGTGTCGAGATAGTTACTGAAGCCATGGATGGCTGTTGTTACACAGAGCTTATGACCACTTGTTTTCTGTCTCTCCTGACAGAATTTAGAGAAACAAGATTGAAATGTATATAAGGAATTTGTATTTAAAACACTGGTGTATTTTCTACACTGTAGAAAATAATTCAGCCTGAGGCTAACTGGTCTTATATGCCATTCTGGGGAGTTAAACGACAAAAGTACAAAAATACTCTTGCCTATTCAGTGGTTTCAGGAAATGACCTCCAGTGTCAGCATCAAGACAAGGTTTCAAAGATTAGTTTACCCTGGGAGACTGGTAGAATTTGCAAATACTACCTGGAAAACATTCAGTGGAAAAGACACTTGCAAGTACATACATACATAAATACTTAAGTACATACTACTTAAGAACATACTCCGTCCTTTGTGTATTGACTTCAAAATCCCTGGGTGGTGCAAACAGTTATCTCAAACAGTTAGCTACCATTTAGTTAGCTCAGTGGGAGTTCTGGTGGCATAGCACCTAAGGCATTTGACTGCTAACCAGAAGGCTGGCAGTTCAAACCCACCAGCCACTCTTCAGAAGGAAGGTTGGGCAATCTACTTCTGTAGTGATACCGCCTCAGAAACCCAAGGAGGGGTCCCTGTGAGTCGAATCCGAATCAGTGGCAGTGGGTTTGGTTTTTGGTTTGAGTTAGTTCGGCTGCTAACTAAAAGATAGAAGGTTTGAGTCTGCCCACAGGCACCTCAGAAGAAGGGCCTCCTGTCAACCTCTGAAAAATCGCCATTGAAAACCCAGAGGTGCAGAGGCCTATTCTGATACACACAGGGATGCTGTGGGTTTTAATCAATGCCATGGCAATTTGTTTTTTGTTTGTTTGCTTGCTTTTTGGTGTATTGGTGTCACAGAATCCTGAAGTGTTAAAGAAATTCAGTAAGAAATGAAAAATAGTGATGATTAAAAAAAAAAAAAATTACCTAAACATTAAGTATTTTGAGAGTGTTGGTGTCCTCCAACCTGTCATGATGTCACTGGTACACATTTTCATCACCTGCATTGCTTGCTACATTCCTGCCAATATAAAGTAGGGAGGTGGGGGCTTGTACTAGCATCTGAATCCTGCTCCCAAAAGAGAGAATTTCAAAGAAAAATGGTATTGTTAAAATTAACAATACCAACTTAATTGTATTGTAGACCTTCTGACATTTTTCTCTTTTCTTCTACAAATCCATGCTACTTAGAAACCATCTTTGATTCTCACTTTGCTGTGATAGCTGTGAAAAAATCTTGAGAGGGCAGAATTTTGTTTTCAAAGGAAAAACCAAAACCAAACTCATTGCCATCTGCTGTCTGGTTAGCAGTCAAATGCCTTAGGTGTTACACCAGTGATGTTTAATTCAGGAGACCTTTCCTCCCAAGTTTCTGAGCTTTCCTGATTTCACCCAAAGAGGGAACCCATTGCCGCCCCCAGCAGTGAGTGCCACCTGTGAGATTGTGTAGGCTAATAGGCATCACTAGGGGCGCCATTCTCATAACTGGTTCTGCAGCATATACCCGCACAGCCATTTGCAAAGAACCCCTCTGAAAAAAAAAAGAAAGAAAACACCAGTTAACTTTCCCATTTGAAGTTTCCTTTTAGAGCCAATAGCTTTTGTACCCTCAGTTTATGGGAAACTGAGATGAGGGGAAAAAGAGGTAATGAAATGAGTAGAAAAGTGAGTTCTTTTCAGATGAAGTCTCAGTTAATGATTAGTAGTTCACCTGTGTTCTAAATTAACCTTTTGTCTTCCTGGTAAAGGAAAAAATGAGTTATCTTGAGAGACACTTCTTTTGTCAAAAGTAGCTGCAATTTTAAGACAGAAAAAAAGAAAAATTAGACAAACAGCATTGTTTTTTTTTTCCTTTCAGATGCATTGTTGTTGTTGTTGTTGTTATGTGCCGTCGAGTCGGCCCCGACTCATAGCGACCCCTCCTTGGGTTTCCGAGGCAGTATCACTACGGAAGTAGGATTGCCCAACCTTCCTTCCGAGGAGTATATTGCTTATCTGAGAAAGAAAAGTAATATAAAATAGATTTATTCAACAAGCTTCTGCAAATAAGACAAAGAGCACTTACCTACCAATTAGTTTCTATCAGAGATGTGTTACGTTATGCAGCCTTTAACTTATTTTTTGAAGGTTTTCCTATAATCCTTGTAGATTTACAAAATAATCAAACGGACTGGTGAAACTGGCTGCAACATTGACGTTTGTTTCGGGGGAAAAAAATCTGACGTGATGAAGTCATTCCTAGGGAAAATCCAAAATGTCTTTATCCAAATTTTAACGAGTTTATTTTCACTGATGTTGAATGATTCAAGGAAGGGAAGAAAGGTTGCTTTTGCTTGTCATTTTATTTATAGGATTTGTCTGCACAGCAGAGAAAAAATGTTCTGATTACTTCAGAGGTAGACATAGATTTCTAAGCCATTTGGCTTCAGAGGTGGTTTAAATAGGAGTAAATTTAATATACCTTTGATTCGCCTTGAAGTAAAGAAACTTGAGCTGAGTTTCGGTCCAGGGTAAAGTCTGCTGTCAACACTGAAGAAAATCTATCACATTAATCCTAGGAGCTCAGAGTCCAGTGCTGCGTGAACAGAATGCTTAAGGACAGGAAGTGTGAGGAGAATGCTTTGAGAGAAACTTTAAAAACAAAATGATTGTTCAGTGAATACCAGGCCTTATGGTAATCATCCAGCACTATGTGAATAATTATGCTTGAGAAAAAATAGCTAATTAAAAACAAAGTGCACAACAGGAAAAGTATAGAATAGTTTTTCTGTTCCAATGTTAATGTGAGATTATTGTTTTTATTTCATTTCACATTGGCATACAAGAGATGAAGAGGAAAATTATATTGCAAGGAAGTGTAGGGTAGACTTGCTCAAGATGTTCTCATGTACTGTATCTAAGACAAAAGTCTTATTACTGTAACTTATCATACACCTCTGGTTATTAAATTCTGCTGATTTAAAATTTTCTAATTTTTTAATTTTGCCACTTTTGCACATAGTGACTTTTCATAGAAAATACCAGAAAAATTTCTGATTTTGCCAGCCTTTGTATGATTTTTTTTCGAAGCTCCTAAGTAGAATTAACATACTCTAAACATATAACTGTGTTTACATCAGTAATAAAAATGTCTTGTGTTTTCCTTTGACTTTGTTAATGAATATCTGGAACTGCTTTATAATTGCTGAGCTTAGGGTGTGAGAGTACAAGCTGCTGAATCAGTTTTAATTCCCTGTACATATCGCTTGCATTGTAAAGAGCTGGGTGGACCCCTCTCTTCCACTCGGGTTGGAGAGGGAATGCTTTTAATAGAGAGATTGGAAAGGAAAGATCCTACCTATGACTTCGCCAAGAACTCGCTCCTTAGTCTTGAGAAGTCATAAAACAGTCATCAAGGCAAGCAAACATTAAATAGTACCCTCTCTGACTAGTGGAAAAAGGTAGGGAGGCAAGAACAGTGCAGTAGAATAAACTACTTCAGAAGTAAGGGTGGCCACTACAGGGGGCAAAGGGAGAGGAGAGAAAAAGTACAGGGAGGATGTAGCCAGAGGCGAAATCATTTCTCTGTTGTGGGTATGGGAGGCCTGGGGGAAATACTGCACCATTGCAGCATAACACATGGGCTGCATCAAATTGTCTCTACCCTGGAAGAAGCATAGTAGTCTGGTTTCGTTTTTGTGCACCGAAGTAAGACTGAGGTCTGGTTGTTGTACTAAGAAATTTGTGAGGGTAGCATATTGATTTAATCCTGTGTGTATTTATCAGGGAGTGCCTTATTGGTGGAGTGCCTAAGGCATTTGACTGCTAAGCAGAAGGCTGGCGGTTCAAACCCACCAGCCACTCCTTGGAGGGAAGATTGGGCAATGTACGTCCATAGAGATACCTCCTCAGAAACCCAAGGAGGGGTCACTATGAGTGTATTTATTAAAAGTACAGTGTTAGTTCAGAGCAAAAAAAATCCATGTACCATATTTTTTTGCCTGTAACGTGCCCATGTAAGTAACACACAAGCATATAACCCACGTAGTACACATAGGAAACTAACACAAGGTGATTTGCAGTTTATAAAAAAATCCTATAGTGCACGTTATTTGCATAAAAATTCAATATAACTTTGTTTCCAAAATCATAGGTTAGGTCCATGGCTAGCTAAACCTATGACGTTCAGTATAGTCATAGACCAAGCTCTGGAAACCAGGACTTTAAGGGACTTTTTCCTTTGATGGGAAAATTAAAATTAAACTGGTTTGCTTAAGATCACAAGCCAGGACTAGAATTTACATTTTCTAATCCCAGTGCATTCCTTGTTTGACCTTATTCTGTTCTCCTCTTTCAACTTGCTCCCCTCAAAGTGACTGCCAGTGCTTTTCCTTCCCGCACCTATACCCAGTGCTCTCACAGCAGTATAGTGTTCCCTACCTGATGAATAACCAGGTGTCCGTTCTGCAGGTGCAAAGTTCCCCATTAAGTGGACAGCCCCCGAAGCAGCCCTGTATGGGAGGTTCACAATCAAGTCTGACGTGTGGTCGTTTGGAATCTTACTCACAGAGCTGGTCACCAAAGGAAGAGTGCCGTACCCAGGTAAGTGTGGGACCCAGCAGAAGTGGGCCTCTGGTTGGATGCTCATTCAACTCCATTTATGGAAGCCTCACCCAGGTTGCCTTGTAAGCCCTTTCCTAAGCTTTCTACAGAGCAGGGATATGAAGAATGTGGGCAGATACGTAGCCAGAGAAAAGCAGAGCTGGGAGCCACTGTGGTATGTAAACAAGTAAGTCACCATGAGCTGTGTGCCAGGTTTAATGTAATTAGTAGCTGGTATGGGTACTTCATGCCTCCCCTCCTGAGTTCACAGAACCTCTCCTCTCTCAGCAGGAGCATGTGTCTGTGGCTCCCAGAGCGGAAATGTCACTGGCAGAGCGTCTGCCCACGTGGAGTTTGCAGACATGTCTGGGAAAGAGAAAGAGAAAAGCCCCCACTGCTTTTTTATTACACTGTAGCACTGACCCATGGAGTGAACCTGGCAGAAAGATGCAAAGACCCGTTCCCTCGGCAGGCCCCAGCTCCAGATGGCTTAGAGTAGAGGCACTTGCAAAAAACGCCTTTTATGGGCCATTCACTGCCTGTTCCTGAACAGCTGAAATTATGCTATACAAAAGCAAGTAAAATGCAAAGAAATTGGAACTTCCTAGATTATCAGATTTATGCTCTTTAGAGAACCCCCAGGTTAGGTTAGCCAGGCTTAAATTCATTAGTTCAGACAGATGATGATGTAAAGGACACTCATGCCATTTCACCTCCACGCTTTAGTGGTTATAATACGGGGACGAGCTGCTTTTTGAAATGTTAAGGACATATTTTTCTGTTATTGCTGAGTGAAGAAAGGAGGTAGCTCCCCCTCATTTCTTGCCTAAGAAAAGAGCTTTTTAAAAAAAGAAAAGAAAAGAAACGAGTGATAGAAGCGATAGTGGAGATTAATGAGGAATTTAGGGCTCTTGCAAATTCTGGGCATGTCATCATATCTCTGCAGTCGGAGGAGCCAGCGAGGGCAGATTAATTTGTAATCCCTTTGTTCATTTTTTTATGGCTATTTCTGGTCATCTTCAGAAAACACAAAGAAGTGGTGCCCATAAAGAGGAACACTTTTCCGCTGGCATAGCTAGAGAGAGCCAGTTTGGCATGGAGGCAAAACTGACAAATCCCCCATCTCTGAAGTGCTCGCACCAGGCACTCAGAGATGCGGATGTAAGTCAGTTTTATTGATGCTGCAGTGGCTGCTGCTCCCAGCATGCACAAGTGGGCAGACTCCCCGGGAATAGCCAACCAGCACAGAAGAAAGGGCTGCCCCAGAGGGAGCTGAAGCACAGCGTGAGGGGTTTTGAATTGCTTCTCCAGGGGAAATATGCACATCTCAGGACTTTGAAGATGTGGAGGTACCTCTTTTTTCATTGTCCACATTTTGAACTCATTTCTTCCTGAGCCCCCCAGGTTTACAGTCACCCGGTGTGTTAAAGGCAATTGGGGGAAAGAGGTTAATGTTGTTTTGCATTTCTGCAAAGCCTTTCCTTCCAGTGATACAAGGCTGCTTTTTGTTCTCAGGGTCACACACAGAAGCCAAGACAAAGGGCTGGGGGGTGGAGGGGCTTCAGAGAAGGAAGGCAGGTGTGTGTTTCTGAGGGGAGAGTCTTTTGTCAGATTTAGTTTTAGCATCAAGAGAATAGCCTCACTTTACAACTTAGACCAGGGTTCATTCATCCAGCATAGCTGCAGTGAGTGTCAGCTGTGCCAGATGCTGTGTCTACCTGGGAGATAAATACAGGGCATCCCTGCCCTCAGCAAACACTGATTAGAACTCGCTACGAGCTACACAGTGTTTCAGGGGCTGGGGATAGAACAGTGAACAAATAAATAAATATAGTCCCTGCACTCATGGAGTTTACAGTCAAATAGATAAAATATACATCACATTTAGGAAGAAATCGGACTTCTTTGTTATGTATTTATTATTAGGGGAAATCGTCCTCTGAGGGGATGGATTATTTGAATTTGTCCACCATAGACCCCAAATCTTCCTTCTGATAGTGGGGTCAGGGGCACTCAATTCAGGCATCTACATATAACAGGTATCTGGGACCTTTCACCCAGAACCCTGTGAAGATGACAAAAGCCGGAGGCCATTGAGTGGACTCTGACTCACGGCCACACCACGTGTCAGAGCAGAGCTGCATCCACAGGGTGTCTCCTGGCTGGCTGTTGGAAGCAGATTGGCAGGCCTTTCTTCCAAGGCACTTGTGGGTGCCACTGAACCTCTAACCTTTCAGTTAGCAGCTGATCACAGTAACTGTTTACACCACTCTGTGAGGATGGTAAAAGCATTTGCAGTGAGAACGAAATCCTATTTATCATGCACATTTATATACTGTGCGCTACTGCTCATCTGCAGTGGGCTGTGATAACTGCCTCCACTTCCATAGAGGTGGCAGAGAAAGGGAGCCATGTCTGGGAAGCTGCACAGGGAAGTTAAATCAGACCTGGAAGCGGAGGATGGTTTCTTCCAACAGAGGATGAGGCAGCCTGTGGGAAAGCACAGAGGCCTTGGAAGACACAGCCAGTTCAAGGGGCTGTATGAAAATGAGTCTGAGGGAAAAAGATCATGTGAGGTGAATCCCGGAGAGGCGGCTGGAAGGGCAGGTCAGAGCAGGTCATGAGGGGCTCAGGTGCTGCCGCAGAGGTCCTTGGTTCCAGCTGGTCAGCAGTGCCAGCCAGGGAGCTGGGTCCGCTGCCCCTACTCAGAAAATCGTTTCCAGTCCTGCTTCCAACCATGGGTGCTTCTTGGTTTCGTTCTTTAACTTAGCTGTAATCATATTTAATTGGACTTATGACTCTGACAATAAATGCTTCTTGAGGGAGAGGCTTTTAGAGAGGGATTCCAATTATAGGAGTGTTAGAGTGTTACCTTAATGAAGGGTAACCATTCCTAAGGAACAAACAATTTCATTAAGCATCATCCAGATGCCACTGAAGGGAAGGACCTTCCCCTCCACAGTCTTGCTGTTTGTTGGTGTGACTGGTTCAGTCATTGTGTACCAAAGGAGACTTCTGCTAAGTTCTCCAGAGTTGAGTCTTAGTACGTGTTGTTACTACCCTAGGACAGATTCCAAATCCCTTTATATCGTCATTTCCATTCTTAAATTTAAATGTGGCTAATTTCTCACTAAAACTAAATAAAACTCACTGTCGTTGAGTCAGACCCAACTCATAGCAACCCCTCCTTGGGTTTCTGAAGTGGTATCACTACAGAAGTAGATTGCCCAACCTTCCTTCTGAGGAGTGGCTGATGGATTTGAACCACCAGCCTACTGGTTAGCAGTCAAGTGCCTTAGGTACTATGCCACCAGAGCTCCCAATTTTCAAATACTGTAATTCTTTTTTCAAGAATATAATGATGTATTTTTCTGAATTCTTTCATACTTTAGAAGGGCGTTCACCTATAAGAGAGGTGCTTGGGCTGGTCGGTGAGGACGGAGACGGGAGAAGGGGGAGGTGGCTTGTAAATGGGGTCTATGTGAAAGATGGTCCGCACATAAGAATCAGAGACAGAGCTTGGGATGGGATTATGTAAATTGTAACCAGAATGAGGAGACAATAAAATATGGGATTAGCTGATTAATTAGTTAGCAAGTTTTATGAGAGAAATTTACAAAGAAGGGGAAGAAGGACAATCTCCAATTGAATGATAGCCTTTAAACCCAAGGAGAAAACCTGAAATGGGATGCTGAGATTAACAAAGAAATGGTGAAGAGGAAACCCATCACCTTACCAAAGAAGGTTGCTTCTAAGATGTGTAACAAAGAGGTGGCTCCAAGGATGAGCTCCATTTTATAAGGACCCTAGCAGCCACCTGACCTGAATGCCTGCTTAGCAAAGCAGCCTAGCTTGGCTTTCTGTAAGCCAGCGTTCTGAACCATTCTTTGCATCAGCATTAGAACTGATTTTATACAAATGGATTGGAGAGGAAAAACATTTAAGCAAATGCAGTTTTCTAAGGTTGATGTATAAAATCAGGATTGTGTATTTTAACCTATTACCTTTAACACTTCTCTAAAATCTTTCTCCTCCTCTCTGTGTCCATGCAGTGGACCCTTAGTGGGACTTCATGTTTCCAGTATTTCCCCAAAACCCCCCACACCATTCTGTCACTGTTACCTCAGAGTTACTATCCTAGAAAACACAGACCTGATTATCTCACTTATCTAGTTAAAAACGTCCATGGCTTCCCTTTGCCTTAAGAATAAACTCCAGAAGCCTTAGTTTTACAGAGTCCTTCATAACTTTTTTGATTCAATCATTCCACAAATATTTATCAGATACCTATTGTATGCCATGTTCTGCTCCAAGTACAGGCGATACAGCAGTGACCAAACAGAAAAAAGGAAAAAAAAAAAAAAAAAAAAAACCTGCCCTGGCAGAACTTTCGTTCTTCTTGGAGGAGGCAGACAATAAACAAAGATAAAAAAGCTAACTATATTGAATGTTGGCTGGTGGTAACTGGTAGGGAGAAAAATAAAGCTGATAAGAAACCAAGAATATCAGGAGAGGATGACGTCTAAGACTTGAAGGAAGGGAGGCTCAAGCCAGGTGGTATATGAGGGAAAAGCCGTCCTTCAGAGGGAATGGTGAGTGCAGAGTAGAAAGGCCTGAAGAAATGCATTATGGCTGGAGCAGACAGAGGAGGAGGTCTAAGAGGCTCCCAGAGGCCAATCATCCAGGGCCCTCGTAGGTCACTGTGAGAACTTTTGCTTTTATTCTCACTGTTAGGTGGGAAGTCACTAAGGGAATTGGTGCAGGAGAGTGACATGATCTGACTTATGATTTATCTCCTTTCGTTCCCCTACCCTTCACACTGTACCCCAGAAACACCAAAAGGTCTCCTCTTGAACGTGCAAGTTTCTATTCTCGCCTCCTTATCTGCTGAAGAAACCTTCAAAGCCCAACCCAAATACCACTGTCTGCATGAAGCCTTCCCCACATCCCGACCCATTGGGTTGTCCCTTGTGCTTGTTCCCGTGACACCTGGTGTATCT